TGGGCTGTTCTTACTGTTGTTGTTGTCTTTGACTTCTCTGTGGGTGCAACACTTGGAAGGGGTGTAAATAGGGGTTTTGCAACACTGCTTGCTAGTACTCTTGGCGTTGGAGCTCATCGAATTGCTAGTTTTTCTGGAGAAATATGTGAGCCCATACTACTTGGGCTTTTTCGTCTTCATACTAGCTGCAGTAGTGACATTCATAAGATTTTTTCCAAGAATGAAAGCAAGATACGATTATGGGCTGCTGATATTTATATTAACATTCTGTTTAATATCAGTATCTGGTTATAGAGATGATGAGGTGTTAGGACTCCCCGTTCCCCGTTGAACTCTTGTGTAGGTTTCGCTGTGGGCTCAACACTCGGGCAACGGCTTGGGAAACGTGGATCAATCCGACCCGTTCTATGTAGAGCGTGCGGTATCATCAATTGGCGCCGTCTGTGGAAAACTTTTTGCTTCGTGTGGCAACTGTGCACATTGTCGCCGGAGACCCATTCTCGATAATCCTTACCTACCACCCACCAAGGTGGATGGTCACCACTAGATCCATGGTTTCTTAACACAACGTTGCCGACCCCCAAGCCGACCCTCCTAACCCAAACAACCCACTGCAGTACTTCAAAGAACTCACCAACAACATTAACCGCCTAGCCGAACAAAACCAAGCCCTGATCAATGCTTTGCTTCAACGAGACCTTCCTATGCCTCCTCCACCACCTCAAGATATCCCACCCAACCGAGAGCGAGACCCGTGCCATCCCATCCAACAATTCCACCCATCCAACTTGGAGGGCTTGCGACCCCCTCCCCAAGATATGAACCCGCTACCTTAGGCCCCACATCCATCGGTCTAAACACCTGCCCCCGAGGGAGAAGCCAGTAGGGTCGTCCCGACTGTCGTTTAGTCAGCTGCCGACCGATTCTGTCTCCACTTTTCAGCACCTAAGTGACTTCTTTCTCAGCCACTTCATTGGCGCCCAGCGCCAGCGACGTTCGGCAACTCAACTTCTCAACATCTGTCAGACGGAGGGGGAGTCGCTGCGTAGCTTCGTCACCCGCTTCAACACTAAAGCCTTGCAGGTGGCGGAAAACGATGACAAGGTCATTCTCACGACTTTCATGGCCGGTCTACGATTATTCGATTTCTATTTTTCCCTCTCCAAAAACCCTCCAACCTCCATGGCAACTCTCATCTCCAAAGCCCAAAAATACATAAACACCGAAGATTCTCTAGCCACCCGATAAGATTCCACAACCAGAAACCCGACCCCTAGAGAAAAGAGGAAGGACTCTGAAACCAGAACCACCCAGTACACACAACAAACACCTTAGTTTACCGAATGACCTGCTCGAGCCGACCGGTTGGCACCTACCCGACCGCCTTGTCGGTTCGAACGATACACTCCCCCAAATTCTCCCATGGAACAAGTCTTGAACCAGATCCAATGAGATTATCCCCTGAAATGGCCCCAACCATCGCGGTCTCCTTCCAACCGACGAGACCAGTCTAAATACTGTCGTTTCCATCAGGACCACGGCCACAATACCGAGGAGTGTGTTAACCTTAAAGACCAGGTCGAGAGCTTGATACATCAGGGGCGTCTCAGTCGGTTTACGGCAGCCCGCCTTCAGCAACGGCCAAGAACTGAACCTACCAGAAATAATCATCGACACATCCCTCCTCGACAACCCGCACAACGTACCCAAGGTAATAATCGACCCCCACAACTACCTCGAGCACAAGACAACCCTGCCCTTCCATTCGGAGAGATCAGAGTTATCACCGGCCGACTTGTATGTGGGGGACCATCCCGTTCAGCCCAACAAGCAGAACTCAGAAAAATCAGGCAGGGCTCCGATAAAGAAGTCGCGGTATTGGACCGCCCCTTCAAACACCTCAAGCAATGGATGGAGCCCATCACCTTTACGGAGGCCGATTGCACAGGCATCCGTTACCCCCATGACGACCTTCTCGTCATCTCTGCTTTCCTGTCCAATTACAAAGTCAGACGGGTGGTTGTCGACAACGGTAGCTCTTCAGACATCATCTTTCTAAATGCCTATCGCCAGCTCAAGGTCGGAGAAGAAAGTTTATCCACTCTCCAAACCCCATTGGTTGGTTTCACAGGGGATAGGGTGACCTCCACAGGCTCCATCGATCTCCCTATCACCATTGGAGAGTACCCACAGCAGACCATTAAGTTGCTCACTTTTCTCGTCATCGATTGTCCCTCTGCTTATAACATCATCCTCGGCCGCACCGCCCTTAACGCTTTTTAAGCTGTCACATCCACGTATCATCTGGCCATGAAATTTCCTACCGACCTTGGAGTCAACACCGTGAGGGGAGAGCAGACCGTGGCCAGAGAATGCTACATCGCTTCACTCAAAGAGGTCAAGCTAAAGGAGACTATGATCATCGAAGGACTCGACGTTAGAGACGAAGACGAATTAGTCAAAGGGGAACCAGTGGAAGAACTTGTTGAAGTCCCCATCGACCCCATCAACCCAACCAAAAGAACCAAGATTGGCAGCTAACTATCCCCCCAAGCCAAGGCCGATCTTATAGCCCTCCTGACCAAGCACAACGATGTGTTTGCCTGGACCCATTCCGACATGCCGGGTATCGACCCCTCCTTCATCACTCATTGTCTCAGCATAGAGCCCCATTTCTAACCCTTCCGCCAGAAGCAGCGTATCTTTCATCCGAAACGCAATGCTCTTATTGCTTCTGAAGTAGATAAGCTGCTGGAGGCACAGTTTGTTAAGAACGTGGACTATCCCAGATGGCTGTCGAATGTGGTCCTGTTCCGTAAAAATAATGGTAAATGGCGACTCTGTGTCGACTACTCCGACCTCAATCGAGCTTGCCCCAAAGATAGTTATCCCTTTCCCTGTATAGACCTGCTTGTCGACGCCACGGCGGGACATCCAATGCTTAGTCTCATGGACGCCTTCTCTCTTAATCGAGCTTGCCCCAAAGATAGTTATCCCTTTCCCCATATAGACTTGCTTGTCGACATCACGGCCGGACATCCAATGCTCAGTTTCATGGACGCCTTCTCTGGCTACAATCAAATTCTGCTGCTCCCGTCTGACTAGGAACACACCTCCTTCATAACTAACCGAGGAACCTACCACTATCGTGTCATGCCATTTGGGTTGAAAAATGCCGGAGCAACCTACCAACGGTTAGTTAATGCCGTTTTTCATCACCAGATAGGTTGGAACATGGAAGTGTACGTCAATGACATATTTGTCAAGAGCAAACTCTCCTTTAATCATCTGGCAGACTTACGAGAGACCTCTGACACCCTATGAAAGTATCAAATGAAGCTGAATTCGGAAAAATGCGCCTTCGGTGTTGGATCGGGGAAATTCTTGGGTTTCATGGTCAGTCAACGGGGTATCGAGGCTAACCCCGAAAAGATCAAGGCCCTGATAGAAATGCAGTCACCCAGAACAGTTAAAGAGGTTCAAAGGCTTACAGGCAGAGTCGCTGCCTCAACCGTTTTATTTCCCGCGCAACAGACAAATGCCTCTCTTTTTTTAAAGTCCTTCGGCAGGCTTTTGAGTGGACGACCAAATCTGAAGAGGTCTTTCAACAATTGAAGCAGTGCATGGCCAACCCTCCCCTACTCTCTCAGGCGCTCACGGGTGAGCCCTTTTTTCTCTACTTAGCTGTATTGAACACCTCAGTCAGTGCGGCCCTCATCAGGGACGACGACTTAGTCCAGCGTCCGGTTTATTACATTAGCCGGGCTCTTAGAGGAGCAGAACAGAACTACCCATTGTTGGAAAAAATGGCCCTAACCTTGGTCATAGCCTCAAGACGACTCTGACCTTACTTCTAAACTCACTCCATAGTGGTCCTCACTGACCAACCTTTGAAGAAGATAATGCAACAACCAAAGTTGTCTGGCAGACTTATGCAATGGTCTGTCGAGCTCAGCCAATTTGAAATCTCCTACCGACCTCGAACAGTGATCAAAGGACAGGCTATCGTCGATTTTATCTTAGAATTCACTAATTCCACTCCAACCACGTCCCCCCTGCCCAAGCAATTCAACACCGAGACAGAAGATCCCCACTCTTGGACCCTCAATGTCTATGGATCATCCCACAAAGAAGGCAGTGGGGCCGGTCTCATCCTCACTACCCCCGAAGGTGGTTATTTCAAGTGTGCTCTCTGTTTCTTGTTCGACGCCAGCAATAATGAGGCCGAATATGAGGCCTTGACAGCAGGTCTTCGCCTAGCTAGAGACATTGGTGTCAGCCATATTCAGGTGTTTAGCGATTCTTAACTGATCGTCGGATAAATTATCCATATCTACATCACAACTAGTATAACTAAAAAAAAATATCGATATAAAATTTAAATTTACATTATACATATCATTTCTTAACCACTTTTCAAGTTATTTTTTTCTCATCCTCAACTTAAAAAAATAAATAAATAAAACTTATACCAAAAAAAAAAAAAATGTTTTAATAACATGGTTTTTTTCATCATATACTTGAAAGGAATATTAGCCTCCTTAACACACCATCTTAATCATCTACCGAACTTCACTTCACTTTTTTTGATCAGAAACTTCACTTCACTTACAACACATTCTCAAAATTTTTGAAAAAAAAAAAAAAATTGTAAGTGCAGCAAAGATAAAATTAAACATAACACTCTAACATAAGGCCGGTCTTACTAAATGTGCATGTCCCACCTCAATTGATGGGGTTACGTAAAAAAAAATTATAATTTCTCTACAAATCACTCAACTATGGCTTGACCCACTTGCTTTTTCAGACCCCCCAATCAGCCCTTCTCTCCTCAACTTCTCTTCCTTAGCTTTCCTGCAAAAAACCACCCAAGCATTCACTTCCATTGCGACACACACACCAATCAAAGTAGACAGACTCAAACAATACCCCAACTTTGCATAAGATCTTCCCTCTCCCATCACTTCAAAGCCCTGAAAAACATTCACAACCCCAATCACCACACAAGCATATCCAACAAAATGGTGGTATGATTTCCAATACTTCCTGAACTTATTTGTAGTTTTAGGCCTAAACAGCAATGCCAGTGTCTGCAAACTCCCCAAGCAAAATGCTGCGAACCCAAGCTTCCGGTGCAGCCCATAAACCCTCCCTGGAGAAAGCTCCCCGAGGTGAATTCCGATTGCAAACCCTACAGTTCCTAAGAAAAATGCCATGAGTTGGACACCAGCATGAGCATAGAACCATGCAGGCCCGAGGGTTTGAAAGTGTCGAAGGTACCGTGCTGTGACTGCTCCAATGGGTAGTAAAATTCCCCATGAGACGCCATTGATGATGCCATGAGCGACTTTTAATGTCTGAATATTATTGTTTTCTTTTGATTGAGAGCCGGACAGTAGATCGATTGTTGCAATAGAGGACAAGTCATTAATGGTGGTTGGATGAATGGTAGGTGAGTAACCCTGGACGTAGAGTCCACGGTTCCAAACATGATGGATTTTGGTCTTGTTTGGTACTAGTTTTAGTGTGGCATAGATTTGGATAGAGGCACCGTCGTGTACGGTGGCTAACTTGCCACCGTACAGGGTAGCAGAGGAAGAGTGGAGGTGGATGTCAAGGGGGCGCGAGAGGAGTGGGCCCCGCTGGAGCTTCACAGTAGGGTCTAGGATGTAGGGTAGTAGGACTAGTTGACCGGAGTTGGGGTCCGGGAAGGCGATTAGGGCACGTGTTCCGGTCATTTCAGCTGAGCTAGGGTTTATGCCCCATGCAACCCAACCGGAGGGCGATATGAAGGTGCCGAAAAAGACTAGGTCAAGGGTGGCATTGTGCGGGTGGAAGGTCCATGCTATGGATGCTTGTTGGGAAGGTAGTGTCATGCATTTTTGGAAGGTTTTGGCGGCGGCGGCGGTGGTGCAGTGGGCGGAATCCACCATGTGTGGATGGGAAGAGAGGAGGAAGGGGAGGAGGAGAAAGAGGAGGAGGAGGGAGGGGAGGGGAAGCTTACACCACCCTGGGTAAAGAAGGTTGAAGATAGAGAAAGGTTTTGTAAACATATATATGTTGTTTTGTGTTTGATGATGTTCTTTGAGGATAATGAAAACTATAGGTCATGTGTGATGAGTAGTGAGAGAATGAAATATATGAATGATGGGTGGTGCTTAGCTTTGAAGGTAAGAAAATTGTTGAGTTGAGTTGGTTTGGTGGGGGTGGAAATGAAAGCTTGGCTTCTGATTGTATATGATGAGTGGTTGCATGCTAAGGGGAATTTGTGGAGTTCGTTTTTGTATCCTTTCTAATAAGTGGATGAGTAGTACATATTTATCAAGAAGATAACGGAATTATTTGGTCAGTTTATATAGAGTTGTTTGTAAATTTTTTTTTAATAGAAATTTGTGGTATAATTTTTATTTACAATTTATAAGGCATTAATAATTTAAATAAATTAATAATCATAATAATTATTGAGAAGCATAGTGAGTGTTGCTTTTAACTTTTGTTTTTTAACTCATTAACTTTTCACTTGTAAGAAATGATACCTAACAAGCTCAATATTATTCACCAATTTATTTAATGGGTGAAGAAAATAACTTTTGAAAGGTTCAATTTCTCTTTAGTTGGGGAAAGAAATAGACCCATCCAATTGGTCCCAGCTACGCACATAACATTAATAATTTAAATTGTTCAATTTTTTTAAGTTTCAATGCATGAATTATTCATGAAATGAATTAAATTAATTTCAAGAATAGTAGTGTATAATTTTGTCATATTAATTTTAAAAAGAACACTACTAGAAAATTGACTTTTTGCGACTATTTTTTTGCGACGGCTTGTTTTGCCGTCGCAAAAAAAAAAAAAAAAAAAAACCTAATTTTTTTTTTACATTTTTTTTTCCCTTTTTTTTTTTTTTTTAAAATTTTTTCACTGCATAATAAAATAATAAAAGCATAGACGTATTTTCAAACGTTAACGAAGTAAATTTTCTGTTTAATTAATTTTCTTACTTTCATTCTGCCTCCGTTTGTGCCATTTAATTTGTTAAGATTAAAATTAATTAGTAAATTGTGATTCCAAGCCTAAATTTTTGGGGTTGGATTGTGGCATGAAGAATGTATAACTATTAAATGCTTTCATTAACAAAAACATTGCTTACAAAGCAAATTAAATACTTGTTACTTTTTCTCATTGGTACATGACAAAACAATATCTTAAAGAAAGTGTACCAAATGATTTTGTTAATACTATGGCAAAACTATAAGATGATAAAAATAAATGAAATTTGCCTTGAGATCTATTTATCTCGTTCAAATGCCCATTCTGATATTGTTTTCAATTATTTAGTTTTTAGTTTTTTCACATTTGAAAAAATAAAATAATAAATGCTATAAAAAACACACTTATTTTCATTTGTTGGTAAAAAAAATTCAAAAAATTTAAAATAAATTAAAACATTTTAAAAAATAGTGTTTTTAGAAAAATTCAATGAGAACAAATTTCGAAAAAAATTTGCAAAATAAAATATCCATAGGCATTTGTATATTTTTGTTGGAAAAACCTAAAATCTATCATAAAAACCAAACGTATCAATTTTTATTTCAGATGCGCATTGTCTTGGAGACAAATTTATCTTTAGAAAAAAGAAGAAGAGAAAAGCATTAAATTCGTCCAAATCCTATATCCACGAAACAAACAAGGCCTTTGATTTCGCTGCAATGGAGTCAACCATAACAGGACGCTCATGACCGTCAATTGACAGATGCTGTTGAAGATCAGATCTCAGCCGTCCACCGCAGTTCCATAGTTTCAGAATTTCGCCCGTTCTGACACACTCATCCGACGTGGCATTTAACTGGTTTTAAAATCCGGATTTGAAGTCCGCATTACATAAAATATTCCTCTCATCAGAAAGTGCCTCCACTCTGAGGTTCGAAGTGTGAAATCGTTGAAACAAAAAAATAGAGAGAGAAAGAGTGAGAGCGAGCACGGAGACAGCTTCGAATCAGCGACTAGAGTGGCTCGAAATCACTGTAAATTCCAAATCTCTAACTCTTATCATCTCAATCTTCTCATAATTTGTGTTTTTTTTTCCTTTGAATTTTTGTTGCTATGTTCATGTGATTTGGAGGTAAAAAAAGCTCCATTTTTGCAGCTTAGGGTTTTGTTATTTTCGCTAAACATTCAATTTTATTAGACTTTCTTGCTACTTTATTCGATTCTTTGATGAAATTCTGTATTTTTGTGGCTTTCTTTATAGTTTTGAATTTTGTTAGGGCTTGTAAATTTTTTCCATTTATGTTTACTCTCAATTTTTAGGCAAAAAATGAAATTTCCACTTCCCTTTACCCCCAAATCTCTAATTCATGTATGTCAATCATTTCACAATTTGTAAACTTTTTTTCTGAAATTTTGTTGTTCTGTTTATGTGCTTTGGAGGTAAAAGACTGCATTTTTGCAGCCTAGTTGGGAAGTTTCAATTAATTTTTCAGTACATTAGCTTCCAGATATACTATCGAAGGATTTTAGATGTAGGTGGCTGATCTAAATTCCTCTACATGGTCATCTTGCTGCTGACTTTGGTGATAAAAGCTTTTTCATTTTTATTTTTTTTTATAGCTTAACTGAATGCATGTCCACTACTCCACCTTTATTTGTTGACAGATGCATTGTGGCCAAAATCAGGCAAATGTTTTATTATGATGTGACCTTGAAAGGAATTTACTATGTTTATTGATTTTTTTTTTTTCCCATTATGTTATGCTCAGATTGTTGCAAATGGTGTTGATCCTAAGCAACAAACATTTTTCTTTTGGTAAGTTATCTATAAATATAAAATTTTGTTGTTTGACTATTGAATTAATAAATTGCTTCTGCTTCTGCTTATTTATTTATTTTTTAATTGCTTTTGTTAGTTTAACTGTTAAAGAGTTTGTTATATTGCCACTGGACTCCAATAGCATGCTTCTTATACCGGTCAATTGCCTAGATATATTATTTCAAGTATTTTGCTTATGTATCTTTGGCTTACTATACCCGTCTTTTGGGTGATCTCATCTGCTTCTGTTTGCAAAATATTCCAACTTTATGTGTTACTGCCTTAGTGGTCTGATCTGATGATGGTGCTTATCTTTTAGGACTGGTTAGTCAGTCTGAGGAAAGTCATTTTAGGTGAAATCAAGTTGTTCTTCTTCACACATTTGGTAGGATTAAATTTGCACTTGATACAACTTGCAGGGTTTCAATAATCTGACTAATTATGATGTTTTGGACGACAGTGGTTGAATCTTTATATTTATTCTTATATTATACTCTTCCGAGCTTGAAATAAGTCTGTTTGAGATTCTTTTCTTGTTTCATTTTCTCTCTTACAAATTTGCTTATGGTTTCTTCACATTATATCAAAACAATGTCACAGAACCAAGATTGTCTTCAAAACTGCTGGAGTTTTGCTTGATGCAATACGGGAGAAGGGGTTGAATGCCCTCAAGTACAAGGCTATTATTCTTGATGAAGTACATGAAAGATCTGTAGAGTCTGATCGTGTTCTCGTTTGTGTAAAGTAGTTTTTGCTGAAGAACAATGACTTAAGGTTCACATATCTTCTCTTTCTATTTCTTCTAATTTTTGCTGTTGGTATTTTTGTTTATGGGTTGTTGGACTTTGTATTTTGTCCACTCATAGGCAACTCCTCGACCTCTTACATGCTGTATGCATCGTTGTAGACCTCTTACATGCTGTATGCATCGTTATGAGTGGTGTGTATTGGCAAAATGAAAACATAAAGTTTTGGAATGAAGCTTAAACTTTTGCAATTATGTGTTTAATTTCTATTCAAAATAGGGAACTGTCATTAATTTCTCCAACAAATTCATCTTAAGTTATACCATAGAATATTAGCTAATTTGTGTTGGTCATACCAAAAAAAGAAAGAAGGAAAAATAGAAAAGAGAAGGGAACCTTAACTGAGGTTTTAACAATTATTAATCTTTTTCTTTTTTTTCCATTTCAAAAAAGCCTAAGAATAATTTTGAGTATTTACGCTAGAATACAAACATAATGATCATAGACAAATAGGTGGCAGCAAATAATTTTGGGTCAAATTGAACTTAGGATACCTAGATATATCACCTACTTACAAAAACAGATACGTTGATATATTTCCATTTTTTAAATGTTTAGATAGATTGGCCAATAACGAATCAAATCTTTTTTAATTACTATTAAAAATGTATAGGTCACGTTCTTTTAACAAGCTAGTCGCACATACATGACATCATTTCCCCCCTATGTAGAAAAGAAAAAGTGGGCTATTAGTTTTTTTTTTCCTTTTCCTTTTTAATATAAAGCAAGACGATGCAGATTGTAACCAGTGTGTTATTTGTAATAGATTTTGGGAGTTCATTTTATATAAATTCTTTGAAAGTTCTCAGAAACCCAAAAAGACACATGAAGGGATTTTTAAAAAACGAATCCAACTATGCCCGCCCATATTTTGCTCTGTTTCTGGGTTATTGCTGGAGGATCTGATAGATTTTTGTAATTTTCCAGGGTTGTATTAATGTCTGCTACTGCTGATATTTCAAGATACAGGGATTACTTCAAGGATCTTGGTAGGGGTGAGAGAGTAGAGGTGCTTGCGATCCCCAGCTCTGGTCAGCAGACAATTTATCAGCGAAGAGTGTCATACCTTGAACAGGTATCATGTTTCATATAATCTTTAACAAACATGATTGGAATGATCCTTGACCATGTTTATTGGTAACTTCATCTTTCAAGACATAATTTATGCTCTTACTTTATGATAAGTAAATTTGATGTACGCATTATCTAATTGCTTTACTGGACATCTTTTCATGGCGTGGTGGATCCATCATTGTTTGAGAAAACACTCCTGTTATGATTTTATCCTCTCTTATTTAATGTTAACAACTTGTTTTTTTATTTTTTATTTTTTTTTGGTTTTTTTTTTGGGGGGGGGCATGCTAATATTTCTTTGCAATACTTTTTAACATTTGGAAAACAAATTTTAGGCTTCACAGCCTGTATGTTAATTTGTAACTGCATTATGTACTTCCAGCATAGTTTGTTGTTGCACTAAATACCTTTTCAGCTATATTTGATTTTTATACTTGTAAAGTGTTGGCTGAACAGGTACCTGAACTTCTCGGAATAAGTTCAGAACTTCTGTCTTTGAAATATTGTTCTGGGCCAAGCCCTATTGTTGCTGATGCTGATATTAGACCTGAAGTGCACAGACTTATACATGACTTGGTGTTGCACATTCATAAAAATGAGCCGGACATTGAAAAGAGCATTTTGGTCTTTCTTCCAACATACTATGCACTTGAGCAGCAATGGTTCCTTCTGAAGCCTTTTAGTAGTACTTTTAAAGTTCACATTTTACATAGCAGTATTGACGTTGAACATGCTCTCACGGCCATGAAAATTTGGAAATCCCGTCGTAAGGTAAAAAATGTTTTCCTTTTCAGTTACATTTGTTTTTTTTTATCGGGGGTGTGTGGGTGGGAATTTTTACCTCTTGCTTCTGCATCTGTTATTGCACAAAGACTTCCCTACATGTTTATACTGTATATGGTGACTTAACTTTCTCGACATAGATTTTCTTTGAATTTTGATTGAAATAATGGTAAAACAACAAAATTTTATAAACTTGTATTCTTTATAAAACTAAATGAGAAGATGGATTAAAGATAAAAGGAAAATATTTTATTAGGGACTTTAACTAGAATCTTTATTTAGCATATATAAAGGATTTCAAGTAACTACTTTTATGTTGTTATTTCAAATCGATCATGAAAAGCTGTCAAATTCAATCTTGAAATCCATATCTAAATTTGAGCAATTCTTCTTGAACGAATAGTGTCAAATTATTTCCTTTCAAATTCATAAATCCAAATACAACCTTAAATAATAACAATCTGAATTCCTTCTAGTTTCCTTGTTATGCTTGCTTGTCTGTGGGTAAGTTTTTTTATTGGAAAGATGCTGGTAAAGATGCTAATACGGAGGTCGGCTGGGGCTTTATAATTTGGGTTATTATTCTCAGTTTGGCTGCTGCTGGAGTTGGTGGATATGCAGTTTACAAGTACAGAATCCAGGTATGTCTTCATTGCTTTGTTATATCCAACACTGTGATGTCATTCATGGCAGGCTTGAAGTTGGATTTCTTTATCTATCGAAAAGAATAAGACTGATTTGAGCCAACAACTAACAGGGGGCAAAACACATGTGAGAACTAGTAGAGAATGTTTCATGAGGGAGGAATGAGAAAAAAGGGAGGCCTTGGGATAAGAAAAATATAATAGTGGTGTCCGTCGATTATCTAAATGAACTCGGTAACTGATGGAGCCCGAGTGGGTTTAAAACTCAAGTAGGGCACAAGGTGGGAAGAGAAGTTTGAGAAGAAGACAAATAGAAGATACATAGGAATTTTTAGTTGGGTTATTATTCTCCCGTTTGCCTGTACTGATTGCTGCAATATCTTGCCATTTGAAAACATTGACTTGCTGAATACCAGTTGAATTCATACTTTGTTTATTATGCTACTCCGCACATTGCTGCAATATTATTTTTAGTTGGGTTATTATTCTCCCGTTTGCCTGTACTGATTGCTGCAATATTACCTAATTTAATAAGTATATTGAAGTAGGCTTTTATGGAGCAATATAATTGCAGGATTGTTAAGAATAGACTTTTAGGCATGATGGAAAACATGTACTGTACATGTATATAATAGAATCCTTGATTGTATATTTCAATAAAGCCTTATGGGGTAATTGTTGAATTGATTTCTGGTTAGCCACCAAATTAATCAATGCTAGTTTTCTAGTTATCTTCTGTTAGATTGGCTAATCAAACTAGTGTGATTAGTCAATTGGGATCAGTAACTGCTAGTCAGTGTATATCATGTCTATTGATGGGATGCCATGTGTAATTTGTGCATGCTCTTGACTAGTGAGTATGCAGAGCATCATCCAAAATAGTAACAGATTTAAAAATTGTGAGGCTGGCTTCACACGGAGGCCAAAATTGATCAATGTATGGTTAGAGCATAAATTGATTGTTCTAACCAAAAATTATTTTCAGGAGCATTAATTAATCATTTTAATGTTTCTTTTCAGCAGCATATCTTGCAAAGCATATCTTTCAGGAGCATATCTTTGCAATGTGGAACTTGAAAAGAAAATTGATGAGAAGATTGGCCAGTTCATCGATAGAGTGGAGAAACATTGAGTAAGAAAATTGATGAGAAGATTGGCCAGTTCTTAGATTGTATTTTTTTCATAAAATAATTTTTTCCAAGTTTTTAGTTGTAATAACTTTCACATATGGCTCAAATTTTGAGACTCAAATGGAATGTTCAATTAAACTATAATGCTAGCTATACTGTCTGAATTCTTGTCATTTGCTATTTCTAGAGTGCTTAACGCTACACTTTTATTTATTTATTTATTTATTTATTTTTTACGACGGTAACAAGATGGTCGCCAAAAATCATGTTAGTGTTTTTCTTTGTTTTTTGCGACGGCAAAATAGTGGTCGCCATAAGTAGTTTAGGCGGTCGCAAATAATTTGCGACCGTTGCTTTGCCGTCGCAAAAAGTATTTGCCACCCCCACATTTGCGACCCTCATTTGCCGTCGCATGGGCCGTCGCAAAAAATTTTTTGCGACTGTTGTTTATTATTTGCGACGGTTTATAGCGGTCGCAAAAAGTATTTTTTTTAGTAGTGGAAGAAGAGAGAAATAGATGATATGTATAACGGTAAAAATATAAAACTAGGATAAACTACCAATAGGTTACCTAACAAGCTCAATATTATTCACCAATTTATTTAATGGGTGAAGAAAATAACTTTTGAAAGGTTCAATTTCTCTTTAGTTGGGGAAAGAAATAGACCCATCCAATTGGTCCCAGCTACGCACATAACATTAATAATTTAAATTGTTCAATTTTTTTAAGTTTCAATGCATGAATTATTCATGAAATGAATTAAATTAATTTCAAGAATAGTAGTGTATAATTTTATCATATTAATTTTAAAAAGAAGAAGAGAGAAATAGGTGATATGTATAATGGTAAAAATATAAAACTAGGATAAACTACCAATAGGTTATAATAGTTTGATTTAATTCTCATCAAGTCTTATTGAAAATAAATTCTATTAAAATTGTCGCTAAAAATAATTTTTTGTGATGATTTTTTGCACATGTCGCTAAAAATTGATAATTAGTGACTTTTTTAATCACAATTTTTATAAATTGTTATTAAAATTTATAATTAGTGATATTTTTTATAACAAAATTTTTAAACTGCCGTTGAAAATTAACAATTAGTGACGTTTTTCATAATGTTTGATAAAAAATGCCATTAATTAAAGGACCTATTGGATAATAAGTCCACCTATTAGGACTTACACGTAAGTTCTCCAACATAATATTGATTTTTTAAGATAAATATAATAAAATTACATGAATTCTATTGTCGAATCAATTTATTATTTATTTTTTATTTTTTATAAATAATCTGCACATAAGGAGTCTGGAAAATAAACAAAGTAAGCAAGAACTTTGGGAACCCGAATTATTACCCAGACTTTTGCCCGTAATTGAAATGTGTGGTAGAGATTGAATTGGTGTATTGTGAAATTCATGTGTAGAATGAATTTGGATCATATATTAATATTTTTGGATAATTTTCTTAGTAATTTAAAAATTTATAATATTACCCACAAAGGATGGACTGGACAAAGAAGCCTAGTTCATTTTTGAATGTGTGACTGTGTACTTTCTGTGACATAGTGAAAAGGTTTCAATTTTATCAAGATTTGTGTTGATTTTTGAAAGGGAAGTGATCTACAATTGAAGTTAGGAATTGGGTTTTTGAGGTTTTGCTAGACTTTGAAGTCAAGTATATATTATAATGCTGTGTTTGGTTGGGGTTTTTGGGGTGGGATTTGGAAAATGAATGAGAAATGTAATCCTATTTATGTTTGGTTATAATAAAAAATATATGGGAAAAGAAATGGGGTGATTTATAACCAACACAACCAAACATAGTTGGGATTTGGAATTCTATTAATTCTTTCTCCTTTTCCTTTCATTTCCATTTCCCTTTCCATTTCTCTTCCCAAATCTCCCAACCAAACACAGCGTAAGTGAAAGCATGGCAATGATTTTGTAACTGGAATGATTACATTGCTATGTTCCATCTTCTAGATTTAGGAAAAAAACAAGAAGAACATAAAGATATGATGACACAGCCCAAAAAGCCATTCAATATGGTTATAATTACAAATCAGAAATATCTATTAATTTCTCTAATGCACCCACTATAATCATCACAACCTTACTATATAGCTCTCTAATTGAGAATCAAGATCTGTTTTTTTTTTTTTTTTTAAGAAGAAAAAGTTTTGAAAATGGAACTCAAGTATGTTCTTTGGCTGAAACGGAATTATCAGTGACAAAAAAGTGACATTTGGGGGTAATCTGAAAAAATCTAGTTAAAAAGGTTGAAAAAAAAACTAAAAAGTCAATTAGTTGGTTTGTTATCAACTAAAAAAAAATTAATGTCACATCAATTTTTTTAGTCACACTTTTTTTATAACAATTTTCACATTAACTTTTTTAACTCTTAAATGCAAATTGATAGAATATTCGATCTTTTCTATTGAGGTTCATTTTTATCACACTTCTTTGTCTTTCAAGAAAATTAGATCATTAAAAAAATGGAGTTTCACTTCAAAAATGATTTCTTAGGCATGCCAACCAAATAAAATAGATGTACACCAAATTTTTTTTTTTTTTTTTAATAAGGTGTTTGAGCGAGCTTACGCACATCTCGATTAATTTCAGGAGATCATTCTCATTGTCTACTTGCGGAGATTCTATTTAAAGCCAGGATGAACGCTCTATATGAACATGGTCCCAAGAAACTTATTGGTACTAGTGGAGTATTCAACATGAGACTTGGAAAGAACACACCTCAAATCCCAAGTTTTTCCCATTAGGCCAACCAATTTGTTTACTCCATAAACCGCTGCTCCAATCACAATCGATGCATAAGGATCACAAGGTGTTTACTATTATCTAATTATAGTGCAACACATCATTAATCTCATTAATTTTCATCTCTTTGTTGTTCATCGCCTTTCGGGTTCCATTTTTGACCACTTGATCCGCTAATTGGAATTATCCTCTCACGTTCTATTTGTTTCTGTGAAAAATATTTTTAAATGTACAAAAAAAAACCAATTTTTATTTTTAATGTTTGGCTACATTATTGAGACTAATGTACTAATAATTATATTAGTGGTGGTGGTGACGGGGCGAAGGCAAAGATGGTATAGAGTGGTGGCTACAGTAGTGGTGAGGTGACGGCTACAGTGGTGGTGATGGTGACCGTGGCTATGGTTGTAGTGATGCAGTGGTGGAGTTGATGGTGACAATAGTAATGGTGTGACAATGATAAGATTTGAATTTAAAAAACATTTTTTTTTACTTAAAAATACTTAATTTTTATTAATTATGAAAAATGTTTTCGGTTATACCAAATACTGAAAATGCAAAATATAAAAATAAAATATATGTGAAAAAGTCTGGTGTCATGCCCTGTTGGCTGAACCTTTGCTTCATCCATGTGTGGACCGACAACAACAAAGATGCTCATTGAATCTTTAGCTAGGGGTAATATTATACAAATCAATAAATTTTATTTCTATTGAGATTATGTTCATTATAAAGAATTGGCGAAATAAAATAGCAATCACCTCAGGGTTGGCCCATTTATTAGGCGAGTCAGACAATCGCCTAGGATCCCAAATCTGACCAGGCCTCAAAGTTATAAAGCCCTTAATGTGATATATATATATATATATATATAGAAAATAAAAATGATAAAAAGTGGAGTGAAAAAAAAATGAATAAATAAAAATTTATTTTCTTGCATGTATTTGAATAGATGAAAATTTTTGTAAGAAAATTACGGTAAAAAAAAAACACACTACATAACAAGGAGTTATGGAGAGAAACATGGGCAAAAAAGAAAACAAAATATACCTTGTCAAGATTTGTAGAAAACATAAAATTTCCCTATATATTTTGTAAGAAATTGTTAGCTTAACTAACAGGCTAATTTGAGGTGTAAAAGAAACTTTAGCTTCTATTATTTTTTAGGACCCTCTATCTAAACAAATACATAAAAAAAAATATATATTTTTTTTTCTTTCACTTTCTTATATTATCTGTCTAACCAAAATGAGCCCTAAAAAAATCAACATTTTTTCTCACTAAGGTTAATGTTGGTAATAATTACAAATAAAACACCAGAAAATAAGAATAATAGAAATTACAAAAACTATTGCAAGGGCTGAGGCGGGAAATTCGCTCTCTTTAAAGTGATTCAAACCCTCTGCGGTTAGGCAAAGCCTCACACCGGTGCAGGAGAAAAACCTTGACTTGTCTCCCTAGGATACAACAGCCCAACTAAGTCGTATGGTTCACCAATACTGCACAATTGGTTGAACCCAAAGTTTTATCACACACACCCTTTTTTATTTGCCTGATAATCTCACTCAAGACATAACAACACAACCAAAACTTCTTCTCTCGTATATATCAAGATAGGAGATAAGCTCAATATATATAGAAAGAAAACTTAGTAGACAAGGTTCTTGGTGGATAAGATAACAAGAGACTTGACCAAGACCTTGGAAGCTTATCTAGGAAGACTTGGAATGGACAAGTCTTAGGAAGACTAGGAAAAGACTTGAATGGATAAGTCTTGGCAAACCTTATCTTAGAAGATTTGGATGGATAGGATTAGGGAGACTAGGATAAAATATGAAGAAAACCAATAATATATTATAATATTAAAATACTTATTAACAGTTAACTATAAAAACTTTATTAGTAGTTTAGAATTTGGAATTTAGCGTTTGTAAGATGGTGAGAATCCATTATGTATGGTACACTTCTTTGCCATGTACTCTTTATGTTGCAATGAAATTATTACTTTGTCCAAAAAAATAGAAGAAAATCGATTAAAAATATTATCAATTGAAAATTATGTTAGAAAAATTTTATTTGCAAGAACTTAGTAATTTTTCCTACTGAAAAGCAAGAAAAATTGAATTTTAATAATTTTTTTATTATTTGAAAAATTAAGGAATAATTATTTAAATGCGAAAGGCCTCCACTCCGGATTTCGCTTTTTGGCTCCAAAAATTGTAGGCCCTGAATCACTTATGTCTTGAGAATGATGAAGTTATGCATACCTTTGTTAAAGGAAATAATTATTGAGTCATACTACAATAATCATGTTTATATATCATATTTAGGTTAAGTTTGGCATCTACTAAATAATACAAAAAGTCA